GAAAGTTAGTACATTAGAAGGTCTTGGAGAGGGGGGAGGGAGAGAAAATGTGGAATAGAACTTAAAATCCTAAAAAAGATCATTCTTCTTGGTCAGATGGAGATTCATGGAACCCTTAGACTGGCCCTTGGTCACCCCTTCCGGTCTCAAATAAATTCACCCTCATAGCTCAATCTCAGCCAAGTAATAGATAGGTATATTGGGGGGACAACAACATTAATTAGGTACATACACCATAAAAAGGGTGAAAGCCACTCATGATGAAAAGGGAGCATCTACCCCAGGACAAAATTTCAATGACTTGGGAAGAAGGAAGCATGGAAACAAAACCACAGGGAGGAAATGGGAACAGTGATGTTACAATGAGAGGATTGCAATCATTGAGATGAATATAAAAACTGATGATCTGATCCACTCGATTCACAAGAAAAAGCTTAAGGAAAAAACAAAACAAAACCAAGCCTCACATTTTGTGTTATTTTGTTATCACGGTTCTAGGAAATAAGGCATAAGCTCATCCTCTTCTCCACTGTGGGGCTCATTTTACCACTTGGCTTTCTTCTGTACGCCCGTAACTCCCACCTCTATGTGAGCTATTTTCTTTTGGTGAAAGCATGCTTATGTGTCTCTAGTACTAAACACTCAACAGCCTTGATGTGGTAACTGTAGTTACAGCTACAGTCCTCAGGGTTCTGCATTCACACATAACCTAAGACTCAAATGTAACCCTACTGCCTAACTTACATCACTACCTATCTGTCCAGAATATATGCATAAAGAGAAAATTAACTGGTTACATTCACAGTACCAAGTCCCTGTACAACTCTTTAGTTGGGCTTGCCTTTCTTTGACCTGTTTAACTACTTAAGCAGTTAGTTATCTTTACCCTGAAATGTTCTCCTCTCTCAACTCCATTGCGACAACCTTCCTCCTCTACAAGCTTGTTTTATATGTATCATCAGCCCTGAATGCAAAAGTTCCTGTTGATTCCATTCACTGTGACACACTTGTTGCTTTAGTCTACATTTTCCCCCTAGTTGAACCAGGAATCCCTATTGCAATCCCTTTCAGCGCCGTCAGCGGTAGTTGAGCACCATCTAGTTCTAGTCTCACAGAGTCATGGAGGTTGGAGTCCACGTGGCCCTTTGGACTAACTGCTTCCTTGCATCTCTGATTTGTTTTTTTTTTTACTCTTCTTGCTCCGAACAGGAAGAAATCAATACTTGCATTTTAGATGGCTTTAAGACCGATCACTATTCACCCAGGCAGGATGTAGAACACTGTCTTTGTGGATTATGTCATGTCAATTGACCTTGGTGCGCCCTGAGACCACTAGGTAAGTGGTTTTGTAAGTTCAAGTGCCTAAATCTTGTTTACTTATCACTTTTTAAAAAATATAGTTCAAGTGTAAGCTGAAGAACATGCTTGGAGTTTTGCCTGAGCCAGTGAGAGTTGGTGCAGGTCTTCATGTGTGTTTGCATAGGAGTTGAGAAGACCACACACAAAACAGGAAGTCATTAAAAAATAGGAATTTGTGGGCTTTCAAATTTAGTTTAAAAAATTCAAGTTACTTTTTTTTTTTTTAAATGAATAAAACTCTACTTAATTTTCTATAGCAGCTATTGGTTTAGAAGCTTCCAGGCCCAGCGGCTCTGTCTCTCCAAGTGTCTGGTTATTGCCAAGACATTTGCATACCTCTGCCCTCTGTGTGCTCTAATACTGCTGGGTATGTCTTTGCAGCACGTATGAATATATATGTAGAAGTACCCTCTGTTAAACCTATATATGGATTCATGGGCATAGATCGATTCATCTTTCCACCTTGTTTAGCCTGACTACCTATCTAGGAATCCATTTATAGATTATCGTGACTGCTGTTATTTCAGGACTGCATACATAACAGTATTTACTTCATTACCTTTAATTCTTGTGCTCCATCCAGTGTCTTCCTTTATCTTGATACACTTCTTACTGACCTCCTCTTATTGCATATTGCCTATTCCTTGCCCTGTCTACTCTGTACCTAGTAATTTACTCTCCCTTTCCCTCCCACCCCTGGTAATCTTTAAAGAATGATTCTTTCTGTACGTAGACCTGTTCTTAACTTCCGACAGCTGTGGTTTGATACACTCTTTGTACTTTTGTGATTGACTAGTTTCACTCAACATAATATCCTCCAGGTGCATCCATGAGAGGACGTGTTTCACGGGTCCCTGGTTATCCTTCAGCATTGTGTAGCATGTCGTTTGTGTATCCATTCATCCTCGCAAGTTGTTTCCATTTTTTGTTTTTTTGATTATTTTGTTGATTTTTATTTTTTTTTTTTTTTTTTTTTTTCCTGTTTTTTTTTTTTTTGGTTTCCTTCCGAGTTATTGGGTTTTTTGTCTTATAGTGTGTGTCTTTTTCCCCCTTTTTGTGGATGTGCTATCATTTTCCACAGTGGTTGCACCATTTTACAATTCCATACTCTTGCCAACATTTTCTGCCTTTTTGAACTTTGCTATTAATTTTGAGTCGAAGTGATATCTGATTGTTGTTTTGATCTGTTTTGTGTAATGGCTAATGAGGAGTCCTAGTATGGTGCTAAGATTTATAGCTAGGGAAACCCTGTACAGGGCTGCCACGGTTGGAACCGACTCTACAGAACATAACCACCACCAGTGTGGTACTGTAGAATAAGAAGTGGACTGCTAACCACACAGTTGGTGGTTCAAACCCACCAGCCATTCCTTGGAAACCCCATACAGGTTCTTTATGAGTCAGAACTGACTCAATGTCACTTAACAGCAACAACACTGACTAAATGAGACAGATGGTAATCATAAAAACAACAATCAGGTGTCATCGAATGGCTAATATGAAGTCTTGGTGTCACTAAAGGATTAATACTGGGTTGATAACCACAAGGTAGGCAGTTCAAACTCACCAGCTGCTCCTTGGAAACCCTATACAGAGTTTGTATAAGTTGCTACTAACTCGATGGCACTTAACAACATTGGCTAATGAAGGAGATCTGGTGACACAATGGGTTAAGTGTTAGCCTGTTAAATGAAAGGTAGGCAGTTCAAACCCACAAGAGAAAGATGAGGCAGTCTGCTTCCATAAGGATGTACAGCCGTGGAAACCCTATGGAGCAATTCTACTTTGCCCTAAAGGGTCACTATGAGTTGGAATTGACCCAATGGCAGTGGGTTTGGCGTTTGGTTTAGTGGCTAATGATCATCAGTATTTCTTCATGTGTATGTTCTTGAATGGTTTCTCTGGTGGTCTGTTCATTTTTAATTAAATTGTGTTTTTGTTGCTGAGGTTCAGCTGGGCTCCTTTTGACGTTTATCACCACAAGGGATGTTTCCAAATGGCAAATCTGAAATGGCACTGAAAGTTTGAACTGTCTTCTCAAGGTTCTAGGATGAATCACGTTCCTAAGTATGCATGCTCTCCAGCATCTGGCTCTTGTGGTAAACTCCTCAACGGTCCCAGGTATCTGAGCAGGTCAAGTGATTTCTGTCTATCTTCTTTACATATGCTATTCAACAAGCTGGAACGTCTTCTGTTCCATTTCTAGATAATCTTATTTCTGATCCACACTTCTAAATGAAGAAAAGATGCTCTGCTTGCTCTTCCTTTTAGTCCCTGAATTACTTTGCTTGTAACTTCTTTGGAAAATAAAGCTGTTATCTAAAATTTTACAGAAGTTTAAAGTGGGGTGAGTGCAAACAAATAAATATATAACAATAATAACAAAACTCATTGCAGTCAGTCAAGTAAATTCTTACTGATGTTATTGCTAAGTGCCATCTAGTTGGTTCCAACTCATAGTGATCTTGTATAGGGGTTCTGAGGAGCAGCTGGTGGGTTTGAACTGTTGACTTTGTAGTCAGCAGTACAGTGCTACACCAGGAGTCCTTGACTCATATAGTGACCCTAGAGGATAGAGTAGAACTGCCCCAGAGGCTTTCTAAGGTTGTCGAGCTTTACAGACATGGCTGCCAAATCTTTCTCCTGTGGAGAAGCTCTGATTAGCAACCAAGCACTTACCCACTGCGCTACCAGGATTCCTTTGGGTAAATGTAGGGAAAAGGAATTTCTACTTAAGCACACATTGCCACAAATGACTAAGTTTCCCTTTTTCATTTATGAAATGGGCTAGCTGACCTCTACGGATCCTTCACCCTTAGAGGATACGATTTCTTTGTTGCCTTCAGTCTGTACATGGAGAGTTAGCAATGGCCTGGGCTCCCCAGTCACTGTATTTTCCTAGGGTCCAAATGTAATAAAAATGTATTTGATGTCCGAGATGAGTCTTCATAACAAAATCATTGGAGTCAGTTATTATGGAGCTATGGAAGCAATCTAGTTTTATGAAACCATTCTTTTGATGCATTTTGTGATAATGTGCTAGCACCTGGGATTCGAGGACCCTCTCCACCCCTGCCCTGCCCCAGAACTGGAAAGCCTTGTATTGAAAGGATAGCTCACTCACTGAACCCTATGGTCCCTTTCACAAATAGTTTCCAAATGATCCAATGTTACCTCCGAGCAGATTTTAAAAGTTTCTTTTTTTTTTTTATATATAAAAGTTTCTTGCTTACAAGCAGAAATGGTTCAATAAATGAAGCATTTTGACCTCACAGTTTAGGGAATTCATATGAAACAAATTTCACAAGGCAGGAAGAACCTGTTCTTTTCAAATTATTTTCAGTCTCATTATAACTTACCGAAAGGGAAAAAAAAACTATGTTCCAAATAATATTATACACTTACCAGAATCTTATGTCTTTTAATGGTCTTTTGGCTGATTTCAGCTGCTATCAAAGCTTGCTGTATTGATATAAATAAAAGGAATGGGAAAGGAGAGAAAGAAAACAGCAGACATGAGAGAGATACTGAGATCACAGATACTGTACTTATTATGTTTTAAAGTTCTGGACAACATAAATAAAGCCTCATTTTTGTGTGTGTGTGGCTTTTGCTTGAAGCACTCTAAGTTTTAATGCTATGGCTGAATGATCCTCACTGAATTCAAGCTCAAACAAAGGCAGTCAACCAAAATGAAGACTTCTCTTGTTTCCATTTGAATTCATTTCCACATTAGGATATTCGAATCGTATTTCAAACACAAATGAAAATACCACACAATCTCCTAGTCTCCAAACAAAAGAATTTATCTGTCATTCTAAATCTCAGTGACATACTGACAAAGGGGCACTTTTCCGCGTTTCCAATGAAAAGTAAGCAATGTAAGTTTATACATATCTATAAGTATATTTTTGAAATCCCTATTTTTTTTTCTAAATTTACAATTATTATTTTTATCTTACATATTTAAAATAGAAATCTGTTTAAGAAATTACTTGATCTAAAAAAATATGGTAATAACTAGATTATAAACTAGCTCTCTATCCAGTAAATACACTCTAAATGATTTCTGGATTTTTAAATGTTTTTCCAAATCTTTTTCTTGGTTTCCTCACTGATGTTTTCCAGTGTTTACAAGCTTACTGCAATAAACTGTCAGCCGCCTCTAACTCCACTCTGACTCATGATGACCCCATGTGTAGGGAGGACAGCTGTCCCATAGGGTTTTTAAGGCTGTGATCTTTTGAAAGCTGAGCAGCAGGTCTAGCTTTGGAAGGGGTTTGAACAGTTAAATCTTTTATCTAGTAATTGAATGCTTAAATTTGCCCACCTAAAAGCCACAGGTGGGCAACTTTTTTGTTGTTTTTAGCTGATTAATATGTAAGTCCATTCAGAGAATTCCTTTAACCCAATACAACAATGCTTTTACAGCTATTAAAATTGACAAATGTTTTCTTTACAAACATGTAAGTCACACTGGGGCACTTTCTACTCAAATTAGTCTGTACCCAAGATTTGATGAAATGGACAACATCCTTCTATCTGAACTGGCAGTTCAAAACACCCTAGTGATTATTAATTTGATAGCTTTACTATTACAGCTGAAGTGAGTTTAACATGAATAATGACACTAAGATATTCAAATAGACACCTTTGAAATATTAGCTTTTTTTTTCCTCCTTGGAAACTCCCAAAATAAAATTTATAACAAGCTAGATTTAACTACTTTGTCTCTCAACCACCAAGTCCTAGTGTGGTGCCACGGGTTAATGTGCCAGACTGCAAAGCTGTCTGAACTGCAAGGTCGGCAGTTCAAGCTCACGAGCTGCTCCTTGGAAACCCTATACAGGGTCACTATGGGTCGGAACTGACTCGATGGCATTTCATAACAACAATAACAAAAGCAAGTAGACCTCATTGTACCATTTTTTCCCTTGTTATTTCTGAAAAAGGCATTTGGGAAGTTGTTAACCTCTGTTGCATTTATGGCTTGGGGCACTCTAATTCAAGTATATGAAAGATATTACAAAAACTGGTTATATTCTCTATAGTACAGATTACTCTTTCAAGCAAGTAACATCCAACCTACTTCATATTGCTTGTTTTCAAGGAGCCAGTCTATGTGATCATCTTGGTCTCGTTCCTTGGCTACTACAACATCTCTTGGACTCACGATGTAGAAGAGGGATTCCCCTTCAGAATACTCTGTAGGTGAGAGAAGAGAGGGGACAAAATTGGGTCACTCAGAAGGATAAGCCTTGGCAATGTCTTCAAGGAACATGCTTAAGCTCCCCAACTGAGTAGAAGACAGAAAACTGGTGCATCCTTTGGAGCAAGTTTGTTTTGGTTGGAAGAGAGTGGAAGAAAAGGTAGACAAAGACAGAATATGTTTCAGTGTTTTAAATAAAGATCCAAGTACAAACATATTTAAAAGAAAGAAGGAAAGAAAAAGAGCACAGAATGAGGAAGGAATGAAGGAAGAAAGGAAGGAAAGAAAGTACCAAAGAATTTTTTACAAATAAGATGGGTTTAAAATTCTGCATTCACACTGACTTCCACTGAAAGGTAATACTCAAAATTCTCCATTACTGCATATTAGAATTCATCGACTGTATATAAAGTTTATTTATGGGCATTTAGTGCAGCGGTCTATTTTTACACAACAATTACGCCTCACAGTCAGCGATAAATGTTTCCTTCCCATCAAGGTCAGGGCCATCTAAAGCACAAATGACAGATGCCCCAAGCCCTGGGGACATAATCTATCATTGCAGCATGTTGTGCACAATACCAGTCTTGAGGGTTTCATGCAAAATTCAATTATAAAACCTGTTCTGAAGGGTTTCTAAGTGTGCAGTAGAGTTTGCTCTGAGCAAAATACCTAGATTGGATGCTTTCAGTTGTGAATCACATTTGGTTTTTGCCAAGGCCAAAAGAGATCTCACATTTCCCAGCTAATTAGGGACTTCACATAGAAAGTTCAAACACACTTGGAATACTTCATGTCCCTTGGCCAACACGCAGACTGAAAATACTCTAAAAAAATATTGCTTTCAAAGGAAGAAAGAAATTCACCATGTCTAATGGCTAGACGTTCATCAATTTATTTTATAAGAATATGACAATGATGCCCAAACACAACTGCTGTGACTAAGTGGTACTGGCTCTGTCTTAGTTTCTAAATTCATTCACCTGTTCAGCAGATAGTCACAGAACACCTACTATGTGCCAGGCACTCTTCTAGATCCCAGGCTTCAGTCATCATTCTCAGACAACTACTCGGCTATTGTAGGGCACATCTCAGAGGGACATAGCACTGGAACTGATCAGATAGCCAAATAACCATGCTGTTTAACAACCATGAAAGAACGTGCCACACCAAGCAGCTAGGACAACAGAAAGAATGCAAGAACAAAAAATTAGGCACCTACCCACCTTAGTCCTGATTTCGTCTTTACCCTTACCCTTAGCTGTGGAAGCTTGGACAAACGATGTCATATTCACAGGTCTCCAGGAACCCCATTTTCAACAGAAGAGGCCTGTCCTGATAAGTCTCTAGAATTCTTTTAGCACCTCAATTTCAATACTTTAAGTTCCCTTTTGTGCCGGCCAAGTGGAAGGGAAAACACCATAAATACAAGAAATATAATGAGTTATTCACCGTTCCTCACCTAAGTGATAATCTCGACATTCATTTTCCTGAAAACCCCTGACTGTAAGAGCATCTGAAGAGATCTCCTCACAGGTCTCCGGAAGCGGGTGGATGATATCCAGTCTGGGCCTGGAGCAGTAGTCTCCATCCTAGCAGGGGGTGGAAAGAGAGGAAAAAGGCTCTTTTTAGTTAAATTTCTATAACGCATAGCCATAGGTGCTTTGACTGTGTAGAATTCTAGCACGTGTGTGCTCTTCTAATGACATTTGCGGGGAACCTCATGACAGTTTTGTTTTTTTTTCTGTCTGATGAGATAAACAAGGCTTCCTACATACCTCCACTGTAGCCCGGTCACTCCAAGCAGAGTGTTACACCCCCTCCCCCATACTCCAGTATCCAAATCAATCCCACTCTTGGTCCATTTACTGGTAAAGCCAACAAGCCAACAGTGAAGAGTTAGAAGTTAGGAGTTGCTGAGAGGGTGGAAATGTTCTCTGTCTTCACAGCTTCGCATGGTAGTCACTGGTTACAGGTGGCTACTGTCTTCTTGAAATGTGAGCGGAATGATTAAGAAACCACGCTTTTTGTTTTATATTGTTTTGATTAATTTACCTTTAAATAGCAAATGCGGCTAGTGACTACAGTATTAGACACTCCAGATCAAGACGGAAGGAAAAGACAAGCTCCCATTTCTTGAGAGGTTTATTTATACAAGTTACTCTCATTTAGTTCTCAAATTAATGCTGAAAAACTAAGTATTAGTGCTCTCAGTTGTGCAGATGCAGAAACTGAGCTTCAGAAAAGTTAACTAAGGTCAAAGTTATATAAGTTAACAGGGAGAATGAGAGTTTTGGATAAACTAGGATTTATGGTGAGCCCTACACCTTAAATCTCAAGCCTTGTTGTTGTTAGCTGAGTCAGTTCTAACTCACAGTGACCTTGTGCACAACAGAACAAAACACTGCCCAGTTCAGCACCATCCTTACAACTGTTGTTATGTTTGAGCCCATTGTTGCTGCTCAAATATAACAACAATTTAAATCTCTTCTGCTTGAAAGGTCTGTGGTCCAAACCCACCAGCCACTCCTTGGAAACCCTATATAAGGTTGCCATGACTCGGAATCGATTCAATGGTACTTAACAACAATATTATAAATAAAGACGGAGATGGTGCAGATATATGGAACCATCATGGCATAATGCTAATAAAAATAGGGCAACAAAGAAAAGAAGGGAAATAAGATGCAATTTGTGAAAAGATAGAAGTATTCCAGGTTTTAATATGAGTGATTTAAAAACAGTATTTATTTAATATTCTGGTTAAACTGCTTTCACTATGGAAAATGAAGTGGGTAAGGGAAGGGAGAAGAGATGGCCCAAATTTTGCCTTGATTTTATTATTTTCTGTTTAATGACTGAAGGTGTATTCTGGTGTTATATACAATAAACATCTAGCTATTATTATATGTTGTTGTTGTCAAGTGCCGTGGAGTCTGTTCTGACGCATAGTGACCCTGCACAGGGTTTCTGAGGCTGTAAATCTTTACAGGAGCAGAATGCCTCATCTTTCTCCCGTGGAACCGCTGGTAGTTTTGAACTGCTGACCTTGAGGTCGGCAGCCCAACTCGTAACCACTACGCTACACTAGCACACATATTTTTGAACCATCTCCAGACAGACTCTCATGTCTTTATCTGAAAAATCCTATTTTCTAAGGTTGGCCTTTCTTTAGGTTTTTATTCCTTCCTAGTACTCTCATTAATACAGGTTTCCTTTCTAGGTTGTTTTGGGGGGGGATGGAGAGAGGGTGTCAATTGTTTATTGGGCTTTCCCCTTTTCATTTTACTGCTTCTTTCCTTATTTTTCTAAATCACATTCTGAATCCTCTCCAAACCCCTCAATGAAAAGCATTTTATTTACTCCCTTGGGAGTCACCGCTTTTCTTTATTTTAAAAAAATAAAATAAATAATAAACTGAAGTCCTGAAAAGGCTAGAAGCCAGCCCTATTGATTTTCTGGGTTTGAGTGTTCACTTAAGTCTACAGCAGTCCATTGCCTAGCAACATGGGCACCGGGAGCTTCAGGTTACTATAGTGATAGCTTGCTAATGCGAGAGCTCCCCCAGAGAAATGCTCAAGGGGCAGCTACCACTTTAAAACCAGGGCTCCCAGGGCTTCCCCCCCACCACAAGTTGATTCCTTTCGAATTTCAAACAAGAGAAAGGATACGAATAAGGAGAGACTACTGACTGTAAAGGGCTAGACAATCAATTGCAATTTCTTTTGGACACAGCATCCTGAAGAAAATACTTTAGCATAGGCCCTCTGTGTCTATGCCATGAAACCACTCCTTTCCTGTTGCTAGTGAGACCTCTGGACTCTTAACACTAAAGATAAGCTGGGATGGGATGACCTAGGCTATAAGGTAGACTGAGTGCTTGCCACTTCAACAGACCATGCAGACAAGCTTCCTTTTCTAGCCATGTAGCATAAAATGTAGACGAATGGCTATTTTCTTATCAGCTATACATTTCATTCACATCATCATTTGCACTGATACCTGAGAGTGAGCAATTGTTTCAAAGCAACAATCCCTAGGCCACCGGGAAGGAAACGAATATATCTGGATCACAAGAAATAACCGGCTGCCCTTTCTGTAATTCCTTCTGACCACAGAGACCCCTGTTGTTAAAACCAATCAACTCCATTGCTGTCACGGCTACTAATGCCTGGTGTCAGCTGAGCTTCTGTACCTTTCAGCAAAGGGAATCCTTCGTTCTTTCCAACTAAAAATACCTAGACAAATGGAAAAAAAGGGGAAAAAAGAGAACAACTCTCCCTTTTATTCAGCAAACAGAACACACGTGGGCAGTGGGTAAGGGATTCTGCAAGGTAAATAAATCAGATGTGACCTCTTGATCTGGGTGCTGTGTTAAAAAGGAACCCTTCAGCTCTTAGTGTTTAGGGAGTATGATTACCGTCTTTTCTGTAAGCTCCTTTACGTAGGAAAGCACAACAAGTTGATCGCAGAGAGGTGCAAGTCCACTGATGTAGAATTCGGTTTCAAACTGGGACACTGCCAACAAAAGGGAAATGGGATTCGCCATTAGCGGGAGCAAGAAGCAGCATACAAGGGGAGGGCCAACTCTCCCTTACATGAATTCTGGATGGACCCACTCTGGAAATCTAGGGTAGAGGGAATATTTAGTAAACACACTTAAGACAACACTCAGCTGTAAAAACTCTGGATAATCAATAGTACTAGAGAAAGACATTTGGAGATTTACACTTAAAATTTTGCATGGATCAAAGCAAAAATCAAGTCCTTGACTATTTTCTATTGATCATGATATTATTTATGGGCATAAATGAGCCACTTCATAAACAAAATCCAGGGAAGAGATAGGAGAGGTGCGCATCCTTTGGACGCTGAGATGGCTGCACATGGAGCCTCCTCACTGCAGGGACAGAAAGCTGTGACAGAAAGAAGTGGCAGGACCAAGAGCCAGAGCATGGGAAGCACAGCAAGCTGAGTACCTCCAGGTAGGAAACTTGCTGGGGTGCTGGGGTGCCTGTAGGCACCCACGGGAGAAGCTAGGTTTGCTGACCCATGAAGTTAAGGTTGAGGGCCTCTGGGCTGAGGCTTGGGGTGATGTGACCTTTGAAATATATCAGCTGCACTAAAGGAGCTTTGTAACAATGTCTGACCAAAGCAGAGCCCAGGGCAAGAGGCTGAGGGCCAGAGACAGGTCTGCCTGCAGGTATGACTGGCTGTCCTAATCAAGGAATGATGTCCTGAGTATTTCTCATCCTGAATTGCAACTTGATTAACTTCTCTAATAAATTCCCAAATTATAAGTATTGCCTCTGAGTTGTGTGTGGCCACTGCAATGAATCATGGAACCCAGTTAAGAAGCAGAGCACTGTGGGAGAATGTACAAGTGTCAGAACTGGTAGAGAAAGCTGAAGGGTGGAGACATATCTGACCTCACATTCACAGGAATCCGCCTTGGGTTGATACAGATGGTGATCCCCCACCTTTCCCCTTCTCCCCACTGCACGTGAAGCCTTATTCTTATAACAGCCTATAATGGGTCAAAGAAGGAATCAAGATAGAAATAAAAAATACTCGAGAGGCAGACAATATTGAAAACACAACATACCAACCAAAACATTGGTTGTAGTAAGACAGTACTCCAAGGGAAATTTAGAACAATAAATGACAACATTAAAATAGGAGAAAGATTCTTAACCAACAGCCTCCTTCTGCAACTTGAAGAATTAGAAAAGGAAAAGAAAATTACACCCAAAGCTACTAGAAGAAAGAAAATTAAAAAGAGCAGAAAAAAATGAGACAGAGAACAGAAAAATAAAATGACTCACAAAATCAGAAGTTGGTTTTTTGAAAAGATCAGCAAAATTGAAAAACCTTTGGCTAGACTGACAAAGAAGAAAAGAGAAGATAGAAATATACAAAGTTAGAACTTCAAATGGGACTATTACAATTGATCCTACAGAAATAAAGTAAACTGTAAAGGTATATTATGAAGAGCACTACGCCAGCAATTAGATAACTCAGAGGAAATAGACATAAACTCCCTACACCGACTCAAGAAGGAAGAACATAGCTCAACATTCCCATAACAAGTGAAGACACTGAATCAGTAACTGAAAACCTTGCACCTTCACCCCACAAAATATCCACACAGTTGAATTGCCTTTGCATAATAAAGCATAAAGTAAACTTTTCCTGGCATTCTGTAAATAAATGGACTACCATTCCTTTGCCAGTCTGTTGTGCTGTAGTGGCTTGTGTGTTGCTGTGGTGCTGGAAGCTATGCCACCAGGATCTTGAATACCAGTGGGGTCACCTAAGGTGGACAGGTTTCAGCTGAGCTTCCAGACTAAGAAGACTGAGAAGGAAGAAGGAGAGGTGGACCACTTCAGAATGGTTAACCACAGAAAACCTTATGAACCACAGTGGAACGTTGTCATATGTAGTGCTGGAAGATGAGCCCCTCAATTTGTAAGATAATCAAAATATGACTGAGGAAGAGCTGCTGCCTCAAAGTAGAGTTGACTTTAATGATATGACTGGAACAAAGTCTTTGGGACTTACATTTACTGATGCTGAAAGAGTACAACTCAAAATGAGAAGAATGAGCTGCAAACATTATTAATAAGTGGAATGTGGAAGGTACCAAGTATGAATCTTGGAAAATTGAAAGTTGTTAAAAAATGAAATGGAACACATAAAGATCAATTACCTAGGAGTTAGTGAGCCTAGCTATTGACCATTTTGAATCAATCAATACAGTTTATTATGCCAGGAATGACAAATTGAAGAGGAATGGTATTGTATTCATTGTCGAAAAGAGCATTTCAAGATCTATCTTGACATACAATGTCATCTGTGATAGGTCAATATCTATATGCCTACAAGTAAGACCAGGAGTTCTGATGTGGCACTGTGGGTTAATGTGCTGGACTACAAAGTCGGTTTGAACTGCAAGGTCGGCAGCTCAAGCTCACCAACTGCCCCTTGGAAACCCTATGCAGGGATGCTATGAGTTGGAGCCAACTTGACGCCACTTAACAACAACACAAGGAACACCAGTTATACTATTACTCAAGCTTACACACCAAACACAACACCAAAGATGTTGAAATTGAAGAATTCTACCAACTTCTTCAGTCGGAAACTGATCAAACATGGAATTAAGATACACTGATAATTACTGGTGATTGGAATGCAAAAGTTGGAAACAAAGAGGAAGGACCCGTAGTTGGAAAAACAGTGACAGAATTCTGTAAGATCAATGTCTTATTCATTGCAAATTATCTTTTTTTCAAAAATATAAGGATGTGCAACTCACCAGATGGAATGCACAGGAAATAAATTGCTAATCTCAAGGCCAGCAGTTCGAAATTACCAGCAATTTCACGAGAGAAAAGATGAGGCTTTCTACTCCTGGTAAAGATCTACAGCCTCGGAAACCCTATACAAGGTCGCTATGAGTTGGAATTGATTCTACGGCACATAACCACCACCATGGGAAGAGAGAGTGAAGCAGCTCAATGTTATCAGGCAACACAAGGCCAGGAACCAACTCTGGCACAGACTATCAACTGCTCATGTGCAAGTTCAGGCTGAAGCTCATTAAAATTAAAACAAGTTCACAAGAGCCAAAATATGATCTTAAATATATCTCACTTGAATTAAGTGATCATTTCTAGAACAGATTTCATGTATTAGACACTAATTACCAAAGACAAGAAGAGTTGTAGGATGACATCAAAAACATCATCATACATGAAGAAAACGAAAGGTCATTAAAAAGAAAGAAAAGACAAAAAATGATGTCAGAAGGGACTCTAAAACTTGTTCTTGAGTGTATAGTAAGTAGCCAAAGCTACTAGAAAAAATGATGAAGTAAAAAAAAGACGAACAGAAGATTTCAAAGTGTAGCTTTAGAAGACAAAGTCAAACATTATAATAAAAATGTGCAAACACCTAGAGTTAGAAAACCAAAAGGGAACATGCTGAACATGTTTCCAGCTAAACGAACTGAAAAAAAGGAAAAACAGGTGTTGGTGAGGTTGTGGAGAAACTGGAATTCTCATCCATTGCTGACAGGAATGTAAAATGGCAGAGTCACTATTGAAAAGTACTTGTTGGTTCCTCTTAAAGTTGAATAAAAGTTACAGGTATATATCCAGAAGTCAAGGAAGGAACACAAACAGAAACCAAGGAACACAATGAACAGCAGTGTTCACTGTCACACTTTTCACAATAACCAAAATTCACATTAAAAAATGAGTGGATAAACAAAATGTACTGAAGGGCATTCACGGGATTATGAATGAAATCTGTACCATGTGTCTGTAAGAATTTGTTCGTTAGTCTCAACAGCTGAATACACTTCTTAATTAGACTTACTCTAGTGCAAGGGAAGAACTCGGTGGCGCAGTAAGTTAATCACTGGGGTGCTAACCTCAAGGTCAGTGGCTCTAACCCACCAGCCACTCTGCAAGAGAAAGATGAGGCTGCCTACTTCTGTAAAGATTTATAGTTTCAAAAACCCTAAGGCAGTTCTACTCTGTCCTGTAAAGTGGCTATGCAACTTAATGGCAGTGGATTATTATTATTATTATTATTATTTGGTTTTAGTGTAAATGAAGACAATTGTGATAAAGAATTTATTGGAAGGGATAGTTTGATCCTTTTAGAGTGAAGGCAGATTTATATAGGACTAAAGGGCATGACTGTTCCGCGGGAGAAAGATGAGGCTTTCTACTCCTGTAAAGATTTACAGCCTCAGAAACCCTGTACAGGGTTGCTATGAGTCGGAACCGACTCCACAACACATAACAACAACCACAACAAAGGGCAAGGAGTCCTGGTGTGGCGCTGTGGGCTAATGCACTGGACTGCAAGTTGTGTGAGCTACAAGGTTGGTGGTTCAGGCTTATCAGCTGCTTCTTGGGAACCCTATACAGGGTGACTATGGGTCGGAAATGACTCGACAGCACTTAACAACAACAAAGGGCAAGTAGGAGTTGTCCAGATGTTGGATGTTCATAATCCATGAACTGTCTGTACACACAATGGAATACTATATACAGTCATAGAGAAATAATATCCTGATACATACTTCACCATGAATGAATTCTGAAAACATGCTCAGTGAAATCAATCACTTTTTCATAAAAAGACAAATACTGTATGATCTCATGTATCTGAAATAAGCAAATATAAAGAAACCAAACATTGGTAGTAGTTCCTAGGGATGGAATCTAAGGAGCTCTGGTAGTGTAGTGGTTATGAGTCGGGCTGCTCTTGTGAAGATCTACAGTCTCAGAAACCCCATGCAGGGGCACTAAGACTCAGAACCAACTCCATGGTCCACTACTACCACTAACACCACCAGGGATAGAATCTGGTGTGCCATTGTAGGAGAAGTACTGAACTGCAACGTCAATTGAACTACAGGTCGGAAGGTGAGAAATTGATGGTCCAACATCATTTACATATTTATGACTAGCCCCCACCCCCTGTCCCTAGCTACTATAAAG